ATCTTGCCCGTAAATGCCGGACAAACTAGAACTTTCTTCAATACATTTCCAAAAAATACATTAAAAATTGAAATTAATTGTACGAAAATAAGAGGGAGGATTTTTGGGAATTTTGAAAAATAATTTAAACAATAAATCACCACAGCTTTTAAGATACCGCACGGGAAACAAATTTGATCAATACTTGAACTTTCTAGTACCTTTATTGCAATACTTTTTATATAAGTATCTAGTACTTATCAAGTATCTTACTCTTGATTATTTGCTCAAAATAATACAAATAGTGTTTGGTTTAGTTATAATTTTTTTAATTAATAATAATAAAAGTACTTTTATAAATTGAATACATAGGTATTTAAATGTTTCAATTATTATTATTACCTACTACTAGAAATTATAATATTATAATACTTTTTGTTCGAATAAAATGTGTTAAAATTCAGTACAGTTATACCAATTACCAAGACCTTTCAACTAGATACGGTTACCACACTTGTATTAATAAAAAATTATGGACGATTCTCTTATTCCAGTCAAAGGTCTGGGGGAGTGAGGGGATGGCTCCACCAATCCCACTCACGGGTATACACATACATTTTCATTAAAAACCAAGACTGAACGATCGATAATCTGTTTCATAAGCATTTGCCTTTACTCGCTATTGGCCTCTTTTCTTTTTTCTTTTTGTATGTGTTTATTGAGAATTACTATTTTGTTTAGTCTTTGGTAATGAATAAACACACTAGTTTGTTAACAAAATCAAGTTTCATAAATTTACCACTATAGAACGAAATTCATAATAAAAATAAAACTATACATATTTAATAATATAATCTATCTATCTTATTAATAGAGTTATATGGTATATAAATATATTAAATATTTTATAAATAATATTGTCAATAATAATTTTAATTTTAAGTTTTATAGGTCATATTAATTTAATGATAAAAAAAAATTAACTCCATAAGTTTAAGTTAAATAAACCAAAAAGCCTTCTTTTAAAAGTTTAAGGTTAACCAAAAATAAACTGAACTAGTTAAGTTAAAATTTACCTACTTAAATGGGTTGGAAAATATTAATTTGTTTTTTTATAATAAAATAAATATTAAAACATTAAATTTAGTAAATGCGTATGAAATATTAAATAATATATAACATATATTATTATGGGCTATGGGTGACAGAATAACTCCCGTGGTTTTTCAAAAGAAAAATAATGCAATTTGTATAATATTATGTTATGCAATACCTATGCTATAGGATAAATGATAACTAATTTCATGAGAATCTGATGCCGGATGTAAATATATAAAATCCGTAAATGTGATACAAATATAAATTTTATTCTTTATCATATTATACTAATTAACCAATCACAATATAAATCTATACAAATTTTAAACTTTAATCAATTCAATAAGTTTATCTGGTTTTATAATATTATTTATATTATTATATACTACATATTATTTATATTTTTTTTCATTTACATAAAAATATAAACTAAATCAAATTATCACGATATGGAAATAGTAATACACAAAATATCACTAGTTTATTTTTGTGCTGCATAATACTGAGAATAGCCAAATAATTTTGAATTTCGAATTTTGAAAAAAATCGTTCGTCCTTAGCTCGATAACTGGGTGTTTATGCTAATGAACTGTAAAAAATTAAATCAAAATTAACTTTTTACTTAACTTAAACTTTTTAACAAGTAATTATAATGCCCTCCGTTGCATATTATAGGTAAAATTTATACTTTCACATGTATTAATATTTAATAGTAATGCGATTTCAAGTTTTAATCCAAGGTTATATCTTATTATAGCCATACGAAATAAATAAATAAATATCTTATTATAACAGCATTTTAATACATTCAAAATCATTCGCTTACATAGCATTTAAATGTTTAGAACAAAAATAGGTTAGTTGATTTGATCTATGAAAGCACGATTGTACACGACGTATATTTTCCTTTTTAGGAACATTATTAGTATGGCATCTGTCGAAATAATTCCATTAAACAGTTTTATTTTATGAACCAGCCTGATGTTTTTCTATTTTGATTGGCTTTTGGAAAAATATGAAAAATGTTGTTAGGTATAGGATATTCAAGTTGTACGTGGCTAATTTTAAAAGACTCCAATTGTCCATTGTCCAATACATATAAAGGCATACGATTGCATCCGAATTTCGTGATTTAACAAATGTCTTGATAAAAAAAAGTGGACCACATATACCTAGCCTAAGGGGTGGATAGGCATAATCTGACCTGCCCGGGAAAAACAGAATCTAGCGGCCTACATGATCATATCCAAGATCCAACAAAAAAAAAAAATACCTCAACCTTGAGAGCACCAATCCCCGCCTTTTTTTTTTGTTAAGAAAAAATATAAATTTAATATAACAATTTCAATAAAAAATATTAGGGTGCTAAAAAAAAAGTTTTGTTTTCCATATACCATTATTTTTATTAAGTTCCAAAATTTGAACCTGGTATAATAAAAGAGGAGTTTAAATGATTAATACATTTTCATTATTTTTATTTATTTCATAAAATAAATACATTTACTTAAATATATTAATAAAGAATTTTTTCTACTTCTGATAATAATCCTCATAAGCGTGCGCAGGACTTACCTTACACATAAATCATAAGCATAAAAAATGCATATATTTTTGGAAAGGGGCTTAAGTCCCAATAATATTGAATATGTATACTTAGTATTTACTTAACTTGGCTTGGTTGAGTATTCGGGGGGAGGGGGGGAGTGCTTCAATGATTTGATTTAATTTTTAATATTCTTATGTATTGGTGCATAAAATCATAGGTAACTACTAACTACGGTCCATACCAGTTGTCAGTCAAACTAGTTACGATTTGACCATGCCAAGTGGTTTATACATTAAACTTTAATACAAATAAAAAATTTTGCCTGACGATACAAATACTTATTTGCACCGCCACCGTCCTGTCAATTTATCTGATGCGAACTTTAAAATATTTGTACATTTTGACTAGGTATTTAATAATAATTATTATAAATTTATAAATAATAATAATAAAAGCTGTAATTATTGGAATAGATGTAAATTATAATATGAAAATTTATTTGCCTGAACTCCAAAATCATTTGTAAAAAAATACATTTATAAATTAGTATGTAATACTATGTGTATGTCAAGTGACAACGAAAAGCCAAAAACATAATGTACGATAAACGCGTTGATACTTTTATTAATATTAGTTGATGACAACAACTGTGAGTCAAACTCAAAAATATTATTTAAATTCCAAGATAAATACTAATGATGGACGAAAGCAGTCAATCGATACGGCCGCCACGCGACACTGCTTGTGAATAAAGTTGAGTGAGAATCCATGATTTAAATATAAAATGCAGTATTTTTTTCTTAATAACTTTGAATATTCTTGTTTATGTACATTATACAACTACAGCATTTACTATCAGCCCATTTTTATCAATATAACTTATAAGTAGCGCTCCACCGGTCACCGGCAAAATCCCAATGTCCCGGTGTGCCTATTCGCACCTGCGGCTAGCCACGATGCCAATCAAGGTAGAGTAGAAGTCGGACGTTGGTTTAATTTTTAAAGACTGAGTTGAAATATACCGACGGAAAACAGTATAAAAGGGTTCATTTATTTACCCAAAGTTTAAATCATTTTGATTATACGAAAACTCGAAGAGCAGGTTCCTGATAGGATATTGGTTTTAAAATCACCGGAACGACAAATTATTTGTCGCTGTAAAATTATGCAACTACCGAGTGCTACAGTGACAGTGTAGTCCATTTACTACAGGACAAGTACGTACCTAAGTTGTAAGTGGGTGTAAATAAAATAGTGATGTGACATAATTCCGGATTATCTGAAAATCCGAAAAATCCGGATTTTGGATGTTAGGCTACTTCGGATTATGAAATGCGAATTTCGAATTTACGGATTTCAAAATCCAAATTTTGGGTTTAGCGTTGTAGATTTATGTATTTTAATTAAAAAAAAAATAAAAAAAATTCTTTGTTGTGTGAAACCTGCAGTAATCCTTTTATTTACAGTAAGTATAACGTTTTCGGAGGGATTAAAACCAAACCGGGCGGTGGTTGGATCACGAATAAAACGGGTTTGGGAATTCAAAGGCACCAAAGGACCTGTAATAATAACAATAATAACAATAATTAATAACGAGAGTCGACGATGTTCTCGCGTTCATATTCGCGGTCGTTTTTCAGACGTCGTCGCCGCTGAGATACCTAATAATATTGTTACACGCACGCACATGCACGTGCACTTGACCGGCTGAACTAATAATATTGTATTATTATAGAGGTAGCGATCGCGATTATCCAAACGAGAGCGTCGGTATGGGATTCGTTAGCACCGGCGGTGGCGGCGGGCAGGGAGGGCACGGGACCTTGGTTTTACGCGGACATTTTTTGGACCAAAACCTAAATATTCCACGTCGATAAAATTCACCTCGATCCTCCCGCGCACAACCTGATACGGCGGTTCGTACATAGTTACCTGGGAGGTACGCACATCCACCGAAGATTAGTGATGATGCGATGATGTCCGACGCGTTGCGTGATTTTGTGCACGCCGTCGGAGCATTGGTATGAGCAAAATGAAAAAAAAAACAAATCTTACGCGCGCGATTCCCTTCTTTTTTCATTGCTCTCACGCTTTATCTCTCTCATTCATTTCCCCGTAATAATTTTCCCTCTTCTCCCTCCGGGTCCACGCTACACCCGGCCGCGGCAGCCACCGTCGTCGCCACCACTTTCTTCCTCACCGTAACCCCACCGCCATTATACCGTGTAGTCGGACGTGCGTTGTTTTTGTGTGTATACTGTATAGTGTGGCAAAAGAGTCGACACACGAATACACAGTCGCCGAACGTACCTCTCGTCCTCGCACCGAGCCACCGTCAGGCCGGCGACGCGAACGCGCGCACTAGTTCCGGAATATACCGCCGTCCAAATCGTGGCGCTGGTTTTCACGAGCACCGCGACCAGACACCAATGCGCACGCGCACAAATGCCGATCGCGTTTTTTCCCCCGTGCGTCTATTCCAAAGACAATAACCAAACAACGCGAACCGTATACGACATACACATTTTTACATATATATGTTTCGTTTATTATTTTCCGATTTTCGTCGTTTTGTGTATTTATTTTTTTACCCGTTTTCGTTTTTTGCGTGTGTACTGCGCACGCCGGTCGCTAATGGTGGTCGCGCCGTCATCGTCGTGATACATTAACAACAATAACAACAACAAAACTCATTGCCGCGGCAGCTGCCGTTGCCGTTGCCGCCACCGCCGCCGATACAGACACCGACAACAGTGGTGCGGTACTTAATCACAAAACGCTTGTTCCGGCAGTGTCGGCATCCGATGTGATATTCAACGTGTTTAGCGGCAACCGATAAAACACCGAAAAACGAGATGGCTTCGGACGAGGAAATCGACGAGTCATTTACCGGTAATTAATAATTATTGCTCTTGCAGCGCGTTCATCCCGACACCCGCCGGCCGCCTCCGCGGTCCTGTCCGGCCGACGGTTTTTGACGCCGGCAGACGTTTTTCGCAAACCTACCGAACCGTCGTTACAGTCCGGCGCCAGCACCCGCGTTCTCCCCACGATGCTAATTACCTCATTAGGGGACATGCCGTTAATACATTTTCGCAAATGGGGCCAACCGTAAACAAAATGGTGGAGCGCGCTTTGTGCCGCCAGATTACGGTTACCTACCTATCAGCCGTGCTATCAACGATTATTATTTTAATTATTGTACTCTATTATAGTCATTGTAAGCCGCCTTTCTATCATTGTCTATTGAACGACCAAGATTTAACCTGTCGAATTGACGGTTTTGAATATTTTTTTATCTCCAAATTTTGTTGAGAGTTGTAGATTTTTGTTTCAAAATATTTAAGGTTTAATGAATTTTATCGTTATTATTTTCCATCTGTTAGTTTTGTTTTCAGCAGCCCACAAATTATTTCCTTAATCCTTATCAATTCTTGTTAGGATACGTTGAATTATCTCCATAACAATACATTTTATTTTGTCTGTAAAAGTACATACCTATATTTTAGTGCCTGTGATGATCCATTCGGGTAATCGATTAACATACCAATATATGTTGTACTTATGTTAAACTGTTGCACAAAAAAAATGCGTTTTTTTTTATTTTTAGAAAATAGATAAATAATAAGTTCATTTGTTTGTTACATTTATGTACCTATGATGAAATTAATCAATAAATATATATGTCCTAGGTAGGTACCTATTATAATATAGAGCCATCCAAATTATTTATAAAAATCAGTAACAACTAACACTACCTGCATACAAATGTACTTAGTGTCAATGTAACTATTAAATAATCTATGTTATATCTATTAATGATACTTGAATTTTCTATAAATATTTGAATGACCAATTTATTTATTACATTATCCACAAATCTTTAAGTTTTTGACCACTTTTATTAGATACCTATTTAATTCTTAGAAATTATAAACTTTTGATAAATTATATTTTTAATTATACAATCTTTTAAAATAAACATCAATGCAATTGTATTACATTAATATTTCATAATTTAAGTAGGTACCATGATAAGTTTAGATTAAATTGTTATTGCTAAAATATTTAATTTTATTTCTATTTTCGTTTAAATTTAAATTGTCTTGATTGATGTTTTGAGCCTAAATGAATTGAACTGAGAAAGTACAAAGAGTACTTAATGTCTATTTCATATATTGAACAAAATTAGTACAAGTAGCCAATATTTATATTTATTATATATTATGATTTTAGAAGAATATGACGAACCATCAAGTCGTGTAGAAAACTCTTTTGATTCTGAAGAAGAAAAACGAGTAGAGGTCAGTGCTAAAATTGCTTGTCTATTTGTATACCTATTATAATTGTTTATCACAGTTTTAATATAACTAATAGTTAATGCATGTTTAATTGGCCCAATTTATTATTTTATTTTAGGAGGAAGATGATGAATATGATCCTGATGGCCGTAAAAAGAAAAGAGGTAAAAAACGAAAAGCAAAGAGTGATTCCAAAAAAGAAAAAAAACGAAAGAAAAGAAAAAGGGGTGGAGATAGTGCTGAGGTATTATTTACAATACTTGATTAAATTTAAATTAAATGTGGTAATTTTTATTTTTATCTATTTAGGAAAGTGATTTTGGTAATTTTGAAGAAGAAACTACCGTAGCTAATGATTCAGATTATTCAAATCGTAAGTCTAAGAAATCTAAAAACTCATCTTCGAAACACCATCAACCGAGTACAGCAAGTGCATCTCAAGATAATAATGGCAGTAAGATATATATTTGAATATGATGTGATACTTATAAATAATTGTTGAATGGTTTGTTTTAGCTGGAATGCCTTCAGTTGAAGAAGTTTGTCAAACATTTGGATTGCAAGATGTTACAATTGACTATTCTGATGCTGATTATCAAAATTTGACCACTTATAAATTATTTCAGCAACATGTTAGACCTATTCTTGCCAAAGAAAATCCTAAGGTAGTAATTTTGTTTTATTATTTATAAATATGATATAACATAGTATATATTTACAGGTTGTGATAGCCAAAATGATGATGTTAGTTGCTGCAAAGTGGCGTGACTTCTGTCAGCAAAATCCTCATCAAGAACAACCAGAATTTGAAGCAAATGAAGAGCCTGAATATCAACCGAAAAGTTCTACTTCGAGACATAAGGTGTGTATTGTATAAAATTTAATACCTTTAATTGAAAATAAGAGTTTATTTTATAAAATTAAATAATGTGCTTAATTATAATTAAAAGAACATAATGCATTAGTTGCGTATTGTTAAATTTTATATCAGTACATGTATATAAATTAGTAATGTTTTTTTATTTTATTAATATTTCAGTCAAGGTCAGTGGAGGAACTAGATGAATTAGAAGAAGAGGAAGAAGTAGAAGTTGAAGTAGAAGAAAAGAAAAGTAAAAAACGAAGTAATCGTGGTAAACGTAGTGGTGGTGGTGGTGGCAATAAAAAAAATTCTCAAGGATCCACCTCTAAAGTTCCCACATTAAAAATTAGGCTTGGAAAACGCAAACAAGCAAGTTCTGTTAGTTTAAACTGAAATTAATTTCTTAGGAAATTATGAAAAGTTTATTTGTTGTATTATTTGTTTTTTTTAATTTTTTACTTATTGTTTAGGATGATGATGCTGATGGCGCTGGTGGTGGAGATACTCAGGGTGATTCCGACGCCGAGTTTGAGCAAATGCTTCAAGATGCGGAAGAAGGTGCAGCTGCTGATGCTGAAGTTGCTGATAAAAAAGTAGAAGATCCTGATGCACCTAAGAAGAAAGCAAAAACTAAAATTGGCAATAAGTCCAAGAAAAAGAAAAAGACAAAGCTGACTTCAAAGTTTCCTGATGGTAATGGTGAAGGAGAAGATGGATATGAGGTAATTTTGCAACTTCATGATATTTACATTTAATATAATGTAATACATTTAATGTGTACACTTTTTAGCAAACAGATCATCAAGATTATTGTGAAGTCTGCCAGCAAGGAGGAGAAATAATTTTATGTGATACTTGCCCAAAAGCATATCATCTTGTCTGTTTAGATCCTGAATTGGAAGACACCCCTGAAGGAAAATGGTCTTGTCCACATTGTGAAAGTGAAGGAGGTCAAGAACAAGAAGAAGATGAACATCAAGAATTTTGCAGGTAAATACCCCCTTAAATCAAATATTAAAATTTCTAAAAATGTATATGGTAGTAAACTTGAATAAATTATTTATATATTTCTAAGAGTATGCAAAGACGGAGGAGAACTTTTATGCTGTGATTCGTGTCCTGCAGCTTATCATACTTTCTGTTTGAGCCCACCTATTACTGATGTACCAGATGGTGATTGGAAGTGTCCTCGATGTTCGGTAAGAATCAAGAAACATTTTGCATTTAAACAATTTACTATTATGATTATAATGATTATTATGATACTGTTAGGCGAAACCTTTACCAGGTAAAGTATCGAAGATTTTAACTTGGCGTTGGAAACCAATACCAGAAGACCCCAATAAACCAGCTGATGAACAATCTGAAAAAGTTAATAGACGGCGAAATAAGCAACAAAGACAACGAGAGTATTTTGTGAAATGGCAAGATCAAAGTTACTGGAAATGTGATTGGGTGTCAGAAGTTCAAGTAAATAATATTCTCTATCATCTATTATTCTGCTCAATTCTATACAATTAAATTGATTAAATAGATGGAAGTTTTTCATCCAATTACTGTTCGAAGTTACATGCGTAAATATGATATGGATGAGCCACCTAAATTAGAAGAGCCATTAGATGAATTGGACAATAGATGGAAAAGACTTCGTGAAGTTGGAGGTGACCAAGCTGCTTTAGAAGAAAAATATTACAGGTAAATCATTAATTTTAAAAATATTTTGTTTATTTAACTAAAAATATATACAAATAAATATTTTAGATATGGAGTAAAACCAGAATGGCTCCTAGTCCATAGAATTCTAAGCCATAAGCATTTAAGAGATGGTCGAATGATGTATTTAGTTAAATGGCGAGATTTACCATATAACTTAGCAACATGGGAACATGAAAATCTTGATTATACCGATTTAAAATCATTTGTAGATTATTATTGGGTAAATTTTTTTATATAAAATATTTTTTGTACTAAAATGTATTATTGTTATTTTTTTTTTTTTTTAGGAATTACGGGCATCTTGTGATTCCTCAAAGAAAAACAAAAAAGTGAAATCAAAAAAGAGTAGCAGTAAAAAAGATTCTGTCGAAGATGAAGAAACACCAAAAGCTACAGTTGGACTTACATGGTATTTACTTATTTCATTATCAACAATGCTACATTTGCTTAATATTGGAACATTATTTTGACTATATTTTTTTTTTACCCATTGTGTTTATAACTTTTATTAAATTGTTATAAAACTTAGTTCTTATTCTAAGTGTGAATTAATTACTAGATTACATCTCACTATGGTGTAGCTTCATAAAATAAGTTATTAAACTAATTATAAATCAACAATTTGGATGGAATAATTATTATTTGCCATATACATTTATATGACGAAATAGAAGTATAACAATTTCGACTTTTAATTTTACTATCGAACATAATAGCAATTAAAAAAATCTATATGATTCATTAATATTTTAATATTTTTCTTAGTATAACATCTATTATTTATTATTTTCAGTCGTAAATTTGTAGGAGCGCCTGATAAACCAGTATCAGATTTAAAAAAGAAATATGAAAAACAACCTGATTATGTAGCAGATACTGGTATGGAATTGCATCCTTATCAGTTGGAAGGTTTGAACTGGTTAAGATATTCTTGGGGCCAAGGCATTGATACTATATTAGCTGATGAAATGGGTCTTGGAAAAACCATTCAAACTATAACATTTTTATATTCTCTTTACAAAGAAGGACATTGTAAAGGTCCGTTTTTGGTGAGTAAAACAACATACTAATGTATAAGTTTTATTTACCTAATATTTATATGTATATATGTTTTATTTAATTAAGGTGAGTGTACCATTGTCAACACTTATTAATTGGGAGCGTGAATTTGAAACATGGGCTCCAGATTTTTATGTGGTGTCATATGTAGGAGATAAAGATTCCAGGGTAACAATTAGAGAAAATGAATTTTCATTTGACGATTCTCGCTCTGGTGTGCGTTGTCATAAGATAAAAGGCAATGTTAAATTTCACGTGTTGCTTACAAGTTATGAATTGATTTCCATAGATGCCCCATTATTGGGTTCAATTGAATGGGCTGTATTGGTTGTAGACGAAGCTCATAGGCTCAAAAGCAATCAGTCCAAAGTAATTACTCATTAATTTATAGTAGATTATTGTTATTTGGTCTAATCTATGGAATATAGTTTTTCAGACTTTTGGCTGGTTACAATATACGCAATAAGCTACTTTTAACCGGAACTCCTCTGCAAAATAATCTAGAAGAATTATTTCATTTACTAAACTTTTTAACACCTGAGAAATTTAATGATTTAACTGTTTTTCAAAATGAATTTGCCGATATTTCTAAAGAAGAACAAGTGAAACGTCTTCATGAAATGTTAGGGCCTCATATGCTCAGAAGATTGAAGGCCGATGTTTTAAAAGTAATTTTTTTATTTTATTGTCCAACCAAATATTTTGTTACTATTAAATATTAATCTCATTTTAGAATATGCCTTCAAAATCTGAATTTATTGTACGTGTTGAGCTATCACCAATGCAAAAGAAGTATTATAAATATATATTAACGAGAAATTTTGAAGCGTTAAATCCAAGAGGTGGTGGACAACAAGTGTCCTTATTAAATATTATGATGGATTTGAAGAAGTGTTGTAATCATCCATACCTATTTCCGGCAGCTGCTCAAGAAGCTCCAACATCAAACAATGGAAGTTATGAAATTGGTGCACTTACAAGAGCAGCTGGAAAACTTGTTTTACTATCTAGAATGCTTAAAAAACTTCAAGAAACAAATCATCGGTAATTAATTACTGTTAATTAAATAATTTTGCACATTTTAATATTTTGAATATTTCAGTGTTCTGATATTTTCCCAAATGACAAAAATGTTGGATATTCTTGAAGATTATCTAGAAGGAGAAGGGTATAAATATGAAAGAATTGATGGTTCCATCACAGGAAACCAAAGACAAGAAGCTATTGACAGATTCAATGCCCCTGGTGCTCAACAATTTGTTTTCTTACTCTCTACAAGGTAATTTTTATTGTATTATTATTTTTTAGTTTAATTAACTAATGTTTTATTTTCAAGGGCTGGTGGATTAGGTATTAATTTGGCAACTGCCGATACTGTTATAATTTATGATTCTGATTGGAATCCTCATAATGATATTCAGGCTTTCTCAAGAGCTCATCGTATTGGTCAAGCTAATAAGGTAATATAAAATATATTTATTGTATATACTAATTTCTTTACTTTTGAAATTAAAATTCATATTATCTTTTAGGTTATGATTTATCGTTTTGTAACAAGAAATTCAGTTGAAGAACGAGTTACACAAGTAGCCAAAAGAAAAATGATGTTAACTCATTTAGTAGTACGACCTGGTATGGGCGGAAAGCAAACCAACTTCACTAAACAAGAGTTGGATGATATATTACGTTTTGGTACTGAAGAATTATTTAAAGAAGAAGAGGTAAATAATAACACTATTAAGAATTATGGTTACAAGTAAAAGTTCAGTATTATTGAAATGTTTTATATTTTTATATTAGGGTAAAGAAGAAGAAGCTATTCATTATGATGACAAAGCTGTTGAAGAATTATTGGACCGTTCAAAAATTGGTATCGAACAAAAAGAAAACTGGTCAAACGAGTATCTATCTTCATTTAAAGTTGCCAGTTATGTCACTAAAGAAGAAGACGAAGAAGAAGAAGCTAATACAGAAGTTATAAAACAAGAAGCTGAAAATACTGATCCTGCATATTGGGTTAAATTATTACGTCATCATTACGAACAACATCAAGAAGATATTTCTAGAACATTGGGTAAAGGAAAACGTGTTCGGAAACAGGTAAATTAAATATTAATTATAATTGTATTATTATATAATTCTCTTAAATTTATTTTATATTACAGGTTAATTACAATGATGGAGGTGGTGTAGTAGATTCAACTCGTGAAGATACTACTTGGCAAGAAAATCTATCTGATTACAATTCAGATTTCTCTGCCCCATCAGGTATGATTTCTGAAATTCAAAAAATTCTTTTTTGTTTCTGATATTTTTTAATTTAAAGATGATGACAAAGAAGATGATGACTTTGATGAAAAGGATGGTGAAGCTGGTAAAAAAATTAAACGTAAACCAGAAAGAAAAGAAGAAAGAGATCGACCTTTGCCTCCTTTGTTGGCTAGAGTTGGTGGAAATATTGAAGTTAGTATCTTTGTTAAGCACATTTTGTAAATTGATACAATTTCCAAATTTAGACCATTTGACACTAATATTTAGAAATTTTGTATTTTGTGTTGGACTATTTGGAAAATTAAATGAAAGAGATATAGAATAAAAGCATAAAAAGTGTTTTGCTTTTATTAAAGGCCTTGTTCTACATCAAAAATTCTATAGTAATTTTAAAAAAATATAAATTATTTTTATTATAAAGTATTTAAGAGCCCAAAGAAAAGTAATAGTCTTACCTTTTTAATTAAGATATTTTTCCTGTACATTTTCAACTTGAATAACTGATTGTATTCATGTTAAGACAAAAAACTACACTAGAACAAATAAAGTTGTTTATGTGTAGTCAAATTATTTTGTTAATTTTATTATACAAAAAAAAAAAATACTTTCCTCTTAACACTTTTTTATTACTATTTCTTGATATAAACATTTTTTTTTTTTTCTCTAGGTACTTGGATTTAATGCAAGACAGAGGAAGGCATTCCTTAATGCAATTATGAGATATGGAATGCCACCTCAGGATGCTTTTAACTCTCAGTGGTATGACAATTTATTTCTATTGTTCTTATTTATAGTAGATTCATAACAGTTATTTTTGTATAATATGAAATTAGGCTTGTAAGGGATTTAAGAGGAAAATCAGAAAAAAATTTTAAGGCATATGTCTCATTATTTATGCGCCACTTATGTGAACCTGGTGCTGATAATTCTGAAAATTTTGCTGATGGTGTGCCTCGTGAAGGTTTAAGTCGACAACATGTACTCACTAGAATTGGGGTTATGTCGTTAATTCGTAAAAAAGTAAATATTTTAATAATATTCAACATTATTATCATGTTAAATAATTTTAATTTTTAGGTTCAAGAATTTGAAGAAATAAATGGTTTCTACAGTATGCCGGAGCTTATTCGTAAGCCTATACAGACAATTAAAGCAGCTGATGCATCTACTAGTTCAACTCCAGTACCACGTTCTGAAGCTTCAACACCAACAACTACTGTTTCAGAAAAAGCTGAACCTGAAACTGAAAATAAAACTACAGTTAGTAAAATATGTGATTAATTAGATATTGTTTTGAAATTTCATTAATTTAATGTTATGTAATTATTTTTAAGGAAACTGATGTGAAATCAAAAGAAACACTAGCGACTACTGATAAGGCAAATGAGATTAAACATGAAGAAGGGACAACCACAGAGGGGGTTGTTGTTAAAATCGAAAATGAATTATCTGTCAAATCTGAAGTCCAAGAAGAACAAAAAGAAGAAAAAGTAAGTAAAAAAAGGGAATTTAACAAGGAAATTAATTCATAAATTATAAAAAAAAAATTTTATCACATGATGTACAATTTATGTGTAATGAAATTTCATGATATATTTCCTGATAAATCAAATTTTTAAATTGTTAGTTCCTTAACAATAATACAATTTAAAAAATACTATTTGATAGTAAAAAAAAAATACATAAAATGATGATAAATAATGTCAATGAATGTTAATGATATTTTGACGCTAGATAGTATCTGATAAATATGTATTATTTGAGTAAATTTGTCAAAAGATTCAGTTATAGTTGTAATAGGCATAGATTGTCACACATTATTATTAATAATTAATATAATAATTTACTAATTTATTAATCAGATATGATGAAATATTTTTGTTCAATGAATATTATTGATGCATTTATTGCTAGATAGTATCTGATCTGATAATTATGTAATAGTATTCATATTTTATGTATTACATTTTTTTAAATTATCCTTTTAGGAACCTATTAAAGAAGAAACTAAAGAAGTACCAGTCGATCTTCAAAAAGAAAAACCAAAAGAAGAAAATTTATCTGAGAAAGAAACTACCCCTCAAGATAATGAAACTGTTGAAGTTAAGACTGAACAACCTGATGTTTCATCAACTGAACAAAAAGAAACTATTTCAGAAGAAACTTCTGAAACTGTTAAGAAAGAAGAAATAAACGAAACTGAATCTTCCACAACAGAGACAAAAGAAGTATATTTTTTTTTCTTGTAGTCTTTTATAATCAATGTTTTTTTTTACTGTACAAAAATTCTATCAAAAATCTTGGTCTGGAGTATCGAGTATAGAACATCTTCTGAAAAATAATTTTCCTTTGGTGATACTTTAGTGAGGTCATTTTCTGATTATCCCAGAAGTTTTTTCAATAAATAGGAAAAATTTACAGACGTAATATTTTTAATATTTTCAATTTTGTTTTTTTATTGTAATTCAGTAAAAATTATGAGTACAGATTTTAAATTTTGACAAAAACATTATGTTTGCCTTTTTCAGACATGGTAAAATTTTCAAAACATTAGAGACATTTTAATTTTGCGAGTTTTTTATGTAATATTTATTCGGTAGGTACTTTGTGGATAAAATTGTTAGACCAAACTGAAATGCTCGACTATTAAACTGGAGGTTCATTATAAGTTGTACTTAGTGGTCTACAAGAAAAATTTGAGTTCAATACAATATATATTTTGTATAGGTATTTTTTTTATCAAGTTTTCATCAAAATTGTAAATATTACAGCCTTTTAAACATCTATAACCAAGCTCAGCTCAGAATCATTTTTCGTAACCAAAAATTACTCATTGCATACAGATAGAAATTAAATTCTCATCTACAACAGTGGCCCACCAATCATCCATCATTTTTTATTAACATTTTTTTTTTTAAATTTTATTATTTAGGATCAAAAGAAAACAGCCGAAGCTTCAGCAAAATCACAGCAGGCTGAAGATGAAGCCAAGAAAAAATTATTAGAAGAATCTGAAAGAGCCAAAGTTGCAGCTGGTATTGGAACTGAAAATGATAAAGAAGACAAAATTACTAGAAAGTTCATGTTTAACATTGCTGACGGGGGTTTTACTGAACTTCATACTTTATGGGTAAATGAAGAAAAAGCAGCAGTTCCTGGACGTGAATATGAAATCTGGCATAGGAGGTATGATTTTCACATAAAATATTATTTATAAATTCTGCTTTACTTAATAATTTTGTTTATTGAAGGCACGATTACTGGTTATTGGCTGGTATTGTGACACATGGGTATGGACGTTGGCAAGACATTCAGAATGACATCCGTTTTGCTATTATCAATGAACCATTTAAAATGGATGTAGGTAAAGGTAATTTCTTAGAAATCAAGAACAAATTTTTGGCCAGGAGGTTTAAATTACTAGAACAAGCTCTGGTTATCGAAGAACAACTTAGACGGGCTGCCTATTTGAATCTGACGCAAGATCCAAATCATCCGGCTATGTCGTTGAATGCTCGGTTTGCTGAAGTTGAATGCTTAGCAGAGTCACACCAGCATTTGTCTAAAGAGAGTTTGGCTGGCAATAAACCTGCCAATGCCGTTCTTCATAAAGTATATTTATATTTAAATTAGTCTCAAAATAGTTATAATTGAAATGTGGGTTTGGTTTGTGTGTATATTTAGGTGTTAAATCAACTAGAAGAACTTTTATCAGATATGAAATCTGATGTTAGCCGATTGCCTGCGACATTGGCTCGTATACCACCAGTTGCCCAGCGACTTCAAATGTCCGAAAGATCGATATTATCACGTTTAGCTGCTACCACATCTTCAGCTTCATCTACCTCCCAGCAGCAACCTGGAGGTAGAATATTAAAAAATTTAAAGATATAAATAATAAATCAATAATTCATGTATATTTTTAGTTGGGACCATAAGCAATCAATTCCCTAATGGATTTCAAAATGGACAATTAAATGGTACATTTGGTAATACTAATTTCACCAACTTCAGACCCCAATATTCAGTTCCCGGACAACAGACATCATCATCATCAAGCACTGCATAACTGAAAATTTATATTCATCAAAAACCTTTTTTTTATATATATATTTGTATTATTTTGTTTCTAGATCTCTCCAACTAAAACAAAATCAATTACACAATTTATTTAAACTTGTTTCGAGTTACAATGGTACAATCTCACCGACTATTTTTCATTTTCTTATCTAATTGACTACCAAGGTTTCAGTTTCTATTGAACATAGTAAACATTTATGAGAATTGTCCTTTTTGTCTGGAAATTAGTCACCAAATATTTTTCACTGTCTAAAAGTCTCTAACATTGTACATACATTTTTATGATCAATATAAAATGGAAAATTACATTAGACTAAAATGTATTTACTTAAATTTTTTTATGATAATTTAATTTTTTTTTTTAAGGGTTTTAGATTGTAATATAAGGAAAATTTTTTCATTATATATTTAATGAAACTTAAATAAAACAACATGTTTCAGAAATAAATTGTGATCTTATTTTAAAAGTTTTTTTGATCTTAAGTCAAATATATCTATTAAAACTAGAAGATTTAAGGTTATTAACTATAATAAATTTAACTTAGAAAATCAACCATAATATTTAAATATATGGTTGAAATTTAAAAAAAAAAAACAATATAATTATATTTTAATATAATTAAAAACTGATAAAGCACATTTATATTTTGGAATTATTGTTTATTTATAAATCTGACACAGTTTTTTTTTCATTCTCTTACACATTAAGTAACAATAATTTTTGATTTTCTAATGGGGTTAATCTTTGTGATAAATACATTCTACTATTTAATGTGCTCATTTTTTTAATAAATTAAATATTTTTTTAAGTTTGTATTTTGGTTAGAACAATGATATATATCCTCACATTTTATATGTTTATTATTCATTTTAATAGTTAAAAATAGTAAATCTAATAAAAAGTTTGTATTTTATATCATATTAAATAATAAATACTGACTACGTTAAATTAATTGCAAAGAACAATAGTATTTGAATGTATTCATACTATTTGATCTACTTTTAACTAATAAATTATTGCTCTAAAATTTAGTTTTCTTGTGGTATCCACCAATGGTAATATTTTACAATCACTAAAAATTAAAAATTACATAAATATAAATTATCTACTAATTAAATACTGTGCATGGTAAAAATTACTAATTTATTGCCAGCTAATTAATTTGGAATAAAATATGTCGTTATTATATTAATAATGTGTTTTGCACTGTCACTAAACATGTAATTTGCTATTACTTATATTAGTAAGGACTTTTAATACATTTCATTTGTCCATTCTAAATACTGTGGATTTAATTTTATATAATAACGATAGGTTAAAGAATATAAAGTACATTATTCAAACAATTTTGATAATAATAAAACAAAAATGTTTTGCCATTTAAAATTTGATGATAGTAACTAATACCTTTTAATTGGGTCAGTAACTAGGCTAGAATAAATTATTATTGACATTTATTTTTCAATGTATTTCGACTGTTTTATTTCAGAAAAATAGTGATGTGTGGTAATTGTATTATTGGTGGAATAATATTCAATTATTTATATAAACTACTAAATATGATTCATTTTTTTGTGAATTATTCGATAAATTTGTATTAATTTGAGTAATCAAAGAAAAGACATATTATGTAAGTTGTATGTTTAAATTTCATGTCTGAATATTTTTAACTGAATTGCATAAAAAAAAAAAGAATTGAAAAAATTTACCTCTAAACTTTCTTATTTCATTTTTTTAAGGGTTTGTTAAACTATTAAAAAACAGCATGGAAAATCAAAAAACGATTTTCTTACTCAAAAAAATATAACAATAAACATTATTTAATTTAATTTATTTTTAAATCTTGATGAGTAGGGAACAGATTTATATGAACTTAAAATCCACAAAGAAAGTCTAAAAATTCAATTGCATAATATTTTAAAAATGAAAAATTGAAAAGGAGATTAAGTCCACATGATACAAGGACTTAACTTAATAAAAATAATTTTCTAAATCTACAAGAATGATAAATGCAGTAATTTTTTCAAAAAAATTGTATCCACCTACCTAATATAAATAAAAAAAAAAATACTTTGTCTAGGTACCTAATCATTTTTTAGTGTTAGACAATTTTACTTAATGCGGTTAAACAAAACTGATACAAGTAAAATACTAGAAGGTAATTTCTCTTTTGTATAATATTATATAATTTGTTTTATTCTAGACTCTGGTATATCATATATCAACGGAAGATTTGTATACACAGAGTGTGAACACATTTAACCTCCCAAGTGACTATCCGTGCTTTGTACCTGAACGAAAAAGATACCGCGTCGTTCTCATTTCTTAGGTGAGACCGATGGTCAAATGTTAGCGAAATATTATATATCACTTACAAAGTCCTAAATTTATAAACTTGAAAAGAAGGAGAAGATTAAGACCGGGGTATCATGTGGTTAAGTATTATACAAAAATGTCTGTATACTTGTTAATGAGACAAACCTATTAACGTCTCTTACTTTCTAAATAAAGATACAACAATATAAAATTGAACTCTTTCAACTACAGGTAATAATAATATTATCGAGATTTTTAGTTTAATAAAACAATAATATAAAATAATGTACCTAGGTATAGCATTTTAAAACGTGGTTAATTATATTTTAATTACAACATTATAACAGAGTAATATTACTTTAGAAAAATATATGTACCTAATTTTTTTTTTCCAAAATGTGAAGATGTGGTATGTAGATAAACCATTGGCGTAAATAATGGGTGGGCAAATGCCACAGGCCCACAACTGATGAGGGCTCTAGCAGTAGCTGGACCAAGGGCCAAGGCATTATTGTACAGGTGAGGGTCTTTTTGAAAAACCTTTAGGACTTTAATGCAATATTTTACCACGGGCATTAGAAATTCTAGTTACGTCACTAAGGTAAACCACTACTTATTTTCATAAACACAATCACTCACACACACTTGTTCTTCTATTACGTCTACTAATATAGGTAAACTAATTGTAAATAAAATGAACTTTATGTAATTGTATGATTTTAATATTATAAAGAAATAAATGCCCTTAGGACCCTGTTCATGAACAAATTAGAAGTAGGAAATAAGTATCGTTTAAGAATTGTCAGTATTTTATTTAATATTATCAATAATTATAATATATTTTTCTTTTAGATAGCATTTATACATAACATTATGTGTGTGTGTGTGTGTGTGTGTGTGTGTGCACTCTTTTCACCCTCCTATAATTTTATAGTATGTATAGAGTACCGCTACAATCTTTTGATCCATCCTTAAAATAAAACTCAGTACGTACAATTTCAATACCAACAATACGTCCTACTCAATATAGTATGGGTAAGCACCTAATAAAGTAGAATCAGTCACTGTTCTACCTACGTCTTTACAAGTAAAAAAAAAAAAAAAAATACAAAAATAATAACCCAAAAGAAAAGATATAGGTATTATTATTTGTCTTGAATATTTTTTTTTCTTCAAACGACCAACACAGTTGGTATAGACTTATATAAATCACATATCTATTCTAGATAGAGTCCTATGTCCATATAAGATTTTCCAAAAATTTAGTGGCATAATAATATTATTTTGTAACAAGTATAGGTTAGGTAGGTACCTACTCGTTTGAATGAATGCATCAGACGAACACGAACACCTGATGGTATGTATAATACGGTCAACACAATAACCTGTGGTGTTTCCAATGAATGTGTTTCGACCCAAGATCCTTCGATCCCTTGTCAATATATAATATTATTTATTATATATATATATACATTATAAATATACGTTATACATTATACAATCGAATTCCTATACTGGTATAGGTACCTATCTAAGCTATAAAACCGAACAAAATATAGGTAGATACTTACATAAATTCTAACTACGCATAAAATGTAAAACTAACCATAATACAGAGTGGTCGTAAGACACTAAAACATTTCAGAAACAAGCAGCTCTACAATTTTACATTTATGTTATTTTTTGTCACCATTATTTTTGGGAATAAAACTTACCTACTTTTGATTTTCAGATGGTAATCTATATTAAAAATTCCATAAATAGACGGAATTGAAATAAATTTTGGTGTTGACATTTTTTATTTTCGTCAATCCGTTGACGGTATATTCCACTTTTAAGTCTCGGTCGGAGTAGAGTAGTGGAGCAAAATTTTTGCAGTTGCATAGGCGCACCTAGATTATAAACTTTAAGGGTTCCCGTGGACACATCAAAAACCTATGAGCGCTATGGCCCCATAATCCCTTTTATACGATTCTTACAATAAGCAACTACATATTTTATTTACACATAGAAATGTATCATAACTATTTTGATATTATTTTTCATATACACGTGGTGACATGAATTTTCTGTCGGAAATCTGTATTTTGTTTATCTCATTTTATGAAATACATGGATAAAATATTCAATCATTATTATGAAAATGCTTAGTGGGATTTTTTAGGGGTACTAATTTCAAACTTGGGTGTGCTAAGGATCCCCTAGCACCCTCCTAGTTCCGCCTATATGCGACGAAACGGCGTGCAGCGTTTTAATAATGTACCACTTACCTACCGATAATGCAATACCTGCACAGATTAGATTTAAATCTTATTAATGTTTCATAGTAGTTATAATAATTCAGGTACTTTCCCGTATATTTTTATTTTAATCACGATTTTTATTAATTTCTGTAATATTGTCTAGCCTATATAAGTAGGTACATATTTTTTTTTTAATAACAAAGTCTAAACAAAAATTATTAAACTAAATCGTTTTTAATGGAAAGCCATTACTAAAGTATAAAACGTTTTTAGTATTAAAATGATGTTATACTCACACGTGTTGTCTTCGTCTAACCAACGCACGATATAGCAAAATTTAAAACATAAATTGTAGCGTTCAGGTTGAAACTCAAATTAAAAACACAAGCAACCAAATTTAAAGAGAATATTTTTGAGGGCGTATGGTACTTAACCCAACCTTACATAGACGTGTTAAAATGTTGATATCATATTTTAACGCTATTTATGGATATTTTAATTTTTCGAGTATTTACGTAATTTTATTTTATTTTATTTGGTAGTTATTCTGTGGATAAAATAGTTAGACTTAACAGAAATGTTTGACAATTTAACACATAATTCATTGTAAGTTGAACTTATTGGTAAAAAAAAAAAAATTGATCGTTTGTAGTATTTTTTTTTATGAGTTTTAAAATCAAATTTTGACAAAACTCGTAAACATTACGGCCTTTCAAAACATGAATCATCGAATTTCGCACCGAATCGTTTTTCGTTAGCAATGGCTTATCGTTGCTTGAAGATTTAAAATACCTGCATA